TGATCTAATGATAAATTTTATACACCTTTGCTAGCAGTATTTCACCTTTTCAGACAGCATTGTTGCACTAAAGCAATCCCTTAAACTTTTATAAAATTAATATCTGTGTTATTGTCTCTCAGAAAATATTGTTGAACGTCCATCAAAGAATAAAACATGCTTACAAATTATTGGTCACTTAGTATTGCAAAGTAAAACAACCCCCATGTGGCAGAAAGGAACAAACATACTTTATTAAAATTGCAATAGATTTGATCTGTTAATAAGGTGAAAACTGAGGACGAGGAAAAAAGTGAGTGTATATTTTAATGAAAAACAAGCAGGAAATGGCCAGGTGTCGTAACTTCATCGAGAAATTCCACCAAAAGTATTCTGAACATATAGCCACAAGTGACTGCAGGTTTTAACAGTCCATTTATGAAGCGCTACTTTCCCTATGTTGAAGGGCAGTAACTGGGAGAAAAGTTGGCTAGACTCAGGTTTACCAGAGTCAGTCAGTCTGACGTAGGATGTATCCAGCAACCTGCAACCTAAAGGAGGTCCCTCATTGGTCTATTCCACAAAACAATTGACTCACGCATTCAAAAAAGTTTGAATGGACCAATCATAGACCTCCATTAGTTTGCAGGTTGTAGGTTGCTGGATACATCCGTACAGGACAGATGTTGGTTCGAGCCAGGTGGCATAGTGTAAATAACTCATAGTTTTCATTAACTATCGCAAGAGTCATCGTTGAAGGAAATTCGCCCGAAACTGTACTTTAAAAATGACTGTCCGAAAAATTATGAATTGTGAACAATTGCTTGTTACTTATGACCACCCCTTATTCTTTTATCTTTTATAGAGTGGCATCACTGCTGGCGCTACCCTCTTCCCATCCTCTCCTCCCTTGTCATCGGTATCCTTACCCGCTTAAATCACCCTCGTCTTCTTCCCGCTTTCTCACAGGACGCTTGGTCGAGCCAGGAGAACAAAGGATTTCATCATCTGTTCCCGCCATACTACTTCTTTGTCTGTTATGGTCTTTTGTAGTGTTTTAGTTTAATTCAATTCGCAATCTGCTGTAATCTTTCATTTTAATATCATACCACAGGATGTAGCACCGTTTTAGCTTACAAATAGCAACTTGTTTTGCTCTCCCAAATGGGGTGCCATGTAAAAGGCGAGCCTAACGCTTGAGCTGTATCTGATTTCCTAATTCTCAAGTTTATGAAATAATTTTAGCTTTTTACTCGTTATTCACCTTTTAACATGGGTTACGGGAGATAGAGATCGACTATTGTGCTGAATCTGTAATTCCATGGTAATGTAGACCCCACGTAGTTCTATTAAGCATTTTCAACAGTCTTCTCTTATCTTTCTGTTGACACTCACAGATATTAGTTTTGCTATCAACGTAACCGTTTTGGGTATGTGAAAACTATCAATGAAACAGAATTATGCTCGCACCTTAAGGAGTTAATGGGATGACCATAAGTCCAAGCATGGTTCTCAACAATTTTGGTAACTGTACATGTTTGCATATGAGCATTTGCATAAAATTGCTATGTGCAGACACATTTTATTAATTTTATCGAGGGGTTCATCACTCCTTGAAGTTGGTGTACACGATTTCGAAAAGTGACTTAAAGTTAAGAAAAGTGAAGTTAAAGTTAGAAAAAGTGAAGTTGAACTTATGTGTCCCTGCTGAAAGGTTTGTTTGAATCAGAAGACTTAAAACTAGAAGACAAGGCAGCCCCTTTTGGTATTTTTGACCTCTGGCAAAATTTTGTGTTCTACGTTGAGCTTTTAAAAAGTCATGATTTTTTTAAAAAGTCACCGTAGAACACAAAATTTTGACTGAGGTCAAAATTACAAAAAGGGGCTGCCTCGTCTTCTAGTTTTAGGTCTTCTGTTTTGAAAACTGACGGGAACTTTTTATGTCTACACAATTGATCAGAACTCAGCACGCAAGGTCCAAGATGGGCAATGTCACTTTTTTTGTAGTTTTTGGCCAATATCTTGACTTTCCCATGACTTTTCTCAACTTTTTCTTGCAGAAATTGAATCAGAAAAAAAATCTGCATCTAGTGGTACCAAATATGTGACCAAATTAAGGAGGCCTTTCTTTTAATTTTTAGCTAGTCGGTCCAATACCTTACTGAATAATTTATCAATTATTGCATAAAACCTGCCCCATCAAAATGTGCACTTATTTATTCTGTTGTTTTTTGTGATCGTTTTAAAAGTAACGGAATACATAGTAAATAACATATTGTAACTGTTTAAAAAAACAATTTTCTTCTTTTTCTATCTTTTTTCAGAAAGATGGATCCGTATCAGTCTATGTATCCCTTCATGGGGATGGGGATGGGAATGAGGGTGGGGATTGGGACGGGCACTGGGATGCCTCCTCCACCCAGTAGCATGGAGATGATGCCAGATATGATGCAGTGGTTCGGCATGGGCATGCCAAACCAAACTCCGACAATGATCTCAAATGCAAATGCGTTTCATCCTGGCATGGATGTACCTGCTGCCAATTCCAAACCGACTGCCAGTTCCAAACCGGCTGCCCTTGGACGCGCTCCATCTGCTGACTCTGTGTCAACTGAGTCAACAACTATTTCAGCCACTGACTCCAAACCAAAACCCAAGCAAAACCAGGTAAAAATTTTCTTTAGAAATATTTTGGTCTTTCCTCTCTGTGTTTAAACCTCTCGGGAATTAATTTTTAGAAATATAATGTTTCTATTTCCTGCTCCTCCACGTTGGACAAAAACCACAATTTCCTCAACATTTTCAGCTACGCTATGCTAGGGTTTTTCACAGGGGAGCCTCCTCTACTCACCCCTTGACAACACCCCAAACCTTTTAACATTATTTTGCAAATGTGCTAACAGAAATATTATTTCTTCCTTTCTTACAGTCAAAGAAGAGGAAGCAGATGACCATATCATCAGATGATGATGATAGTTCCCAACCAGGACAGAAAGTCAGTTAAACTGAAGGGTGGAATAATTTTCATGAAATCAATGATTGTTACTCAATCAAGTTCAGATGAATAACAAAGTTTTAATTCAAGTGTATTATTCTTCCACAGAAAGGAGGCGATGACTCAGACGTGCAACTGACTGAGAAAGAAGAAGAAGAAGAGGAGGAGGATGCGGTGGCAGCGAAATCTGGCTTCCAAAGTTTTATGGTAAGAGAACTAAATTTCTTTGCATAACTACAAGTACTCTTTAGATCTGTTCCTGATGTACTATTTTTAACCCAGGCAAAGCTTAAGGCCAAGCAGACCCCAAAGCATGACTCAGATGATGAGGATGGGCAGGGTAGTAGCGGTGATGAAGATAAGCCTAAAGGTAAATTTTTAGTTCTTCCATTGAAATATAATTTTTTTGTAATTCTGTTTGTACCTACATATTTACCTGAATTGACGTTCCTTTCCTTTCCAATTGTGCCAGGCAAAAGATTGGTTGGTAGACCAAAAGGTGCCCAGAATAGAGGTCCAAAGAGAGCGGAACTACTAGAAATGTATGAGCAAAAGTGTGCTGAAAATAAAGACCTGAAAGAGAAACTGAAAGCATCTCAATCTGAAAACAAGATGCTGAAGATGGAGTTGAAGAAAATAAAACAAAATAAAGGTAATTAATCAAACTGCAGGTTATTATGGAAGCCATCCACCTTTGTTATTAAAACGTTTATGAACAGTTCTTGCAAATTGTTGTATTTTTTTTCGCACAACTCTTTACCTTTTAAACTATAAGAAAGCACTCACCAGTATTTAAATTCTTCTTTGAGAACTGGGGAAGGTAGGTGGAAGAGGATGTGTATGATATGACAGTCTAAAACGAAATAAACTTCTCTTGCATTTCCTGTATATTTTATATTAGTTGAATCTAAGGTTATTGGGGATGATTTCAAAACAAATGACCAAAAAACAAAGTACATAACAGGAAACACTACAGATTCAAATACTGCTTGGAGCATTGCCTCCAAGCATGCTTTGTATGGGATCTATTGCCTCTGACTTAAATTTTCTGTAACTATGATCTCTGCGGCATATTAAAATCCATGTAAACTTGATTGCAATGCTTTTTTTAGATGATGAAACTGTTATAATTTCAAGTGACTCTGAACTTGAAATGGAAGAGTTATCTGTTGTTCATCTCCGCTCCAGACCAAGTGAGCCCAAACTACCAATGTCTTTCGAATGGAACGGGAAGGTAAAGCCAAATAAGCCACACTGCGCTGAGAAGGTAAGGCGAAAGTCATGATGAGTTGAAAGAATTTAAGGTATGGGAACTGTCAAAATTACATCTCACTTACAACCCCTTTTTTTTCCCAGACTATTCCTATAGATCAGGACACACTGAACAGGATCAAAGTCGAGGGAGAAAGAGTAAGTTGAAAACCTATAATATCCTCCTGCAATGGCAATGCCAATTGTTAAATAAAACAAAACATTTGCTTCTCCTTTTAAAAAGGATGTTTGTTTGGGAAGTTTTCAAGAGGTAACACTATCGTGTAAATTTTTAGATTTCAACTTTTTATACCTAACTGGATTAGTTTGTAGATTATTAAATCCAAATAAAGAAATAACTAAAGTCTTGCTTAAATCCCAAATGTTACATGTTAAGAGTCAATTTTATCTGTATTATGAAAACAAAAATGCTTTTACTCCCTAAAAAATTATTTTATTTTCAGTGTGATAAACACCTCCATTAGATTAAAAGAATAATATAAATCTGACTTGAGTTTCTTTTTCTTTCTTTTCAGAAGCATGTTACTGATCTAAACTGGAGGGAAGAGGTAATTGCATTTAGGAGCATAAGTACCTTTATTAAGTCATGAGGGAGACAAAATGATGGTCCAAATTTCAGATTTCTCAACGTTAAATGTTTGATCCATGATCAAATGTATTCTGTTCAGAGTATATTGAAATGCTACTGTGTAATAACCTGGGAAAAATTTTAAGTGGCGAGGTGGCATTGAAGTGGATTTTGACTTTTTAAGTGGCAAGTTGCCACTCTCAGCCGCTCTCAGCCGCTGTCCTGGATGTTTAACAGGGCACGTAATAACGGTTGAGAGAGTTAACATGTAAAAGAGTTAATAAACTCAGGTGAGACAGTAATTAGTATGTGTATTTGCAGGAGTTGATGTGAAAACTTTTAAACCCCCA